GGGTCAGGGTTCTGCAAAGCTTAGAAATTATTCAATATGACATCGAATTTTTTATTATCTGAAGTATATCACTTTAGTTGGTGTTTTATCATGAGCCAACTCCATGAAAAAGGAAACCTGAGGAACTTACACACTCTCATTTGTGGATTTATGAAAACTGCTCCTTTTCTAAAATAAGCATTTCAAAGCACCCAGATAGGATCCATTTTGTAATATTTCTTATTTTAAACTCCATGGAGGCATTCATTCTCCAGTGAGTGTTTCATATGCAAACACGGAACACAATAAGCACCACAAAGACCTCTCCTGGGTGTAGCTGCTCACAACCACGTGATGTCCTCCTTCTTATCTCAGGCCTTCCTTGCCCTGAACTGATTGGTCTCTGAGGACAACCATTAGTGAACTATGGGCCATATTCCACACCCTTGGATTTGTAAATTGCTGACGTTAGAGGTAGCTTTAGATCAAAATCCAGGCCCTTGTTTTTGGGGTTTGTTTTGTTTTGTTTTTTAAAGCTATATCCTAGCACCAGAATAAGGTGGTTTCTCAGTTAGCTTCAGTTATAATGCTGTTATAGTCACAGGTTTTGGTTTCTGGGGAGTAAGAAGTACAGCAGGGATCTTCCACCCAGGTGTGTTAGTGCACCCCTGGTGGGTGTGACTGCCTTTTACAACCAGGAAGATCTAGTCATTCAACCTCTGTGCAAAACTTGTGACTAAAATACGGAATATACTTAATATTCACACTGATAGAAATTTTATAGCTAAGTAATATAAATTATCATTGACTTTTAGGTAAATGAAAAAATGGTCCATACTTTGCTCTTCTCCCTACACACATATTCTCATTTCATAAACTATCCAGAGTGATATACTTAGTGATAGCTTCTGCATCTCAGAGCTAGTGTCCCTCGTTCCTGCTCTTCTATCAGCAGTTTTTAGAGTAAGAAATAAAGACTTTTATCTTGGGCCATCTATGTAGAGACCTGTGTGTATTTGAATAGCGACTATATATTCTAAACTGAATTCACATAAAGAACATATGAGAAGCACAGTTATGCATGGGTGGGGTGATGAAGTGAAGGATTTCCTTTCGTCTCTATAGAATCAAATTCACTGCTGTGAACATGCCAAGCACCCACTCCTGGGTCTTCCTGGGGCACTCATATAGAGACACAACCATTTCCAAAACTGCCTACCTACGTGGCAACTGCTTAACCATATTTCCCCCCATCCATTTTTGCAGTGCTGGCATTTGAACCAAGAACCTCACATACACAAGACATGTGCTCGACCACTGGGTTATGCTCCTAACTTTATTACTACCTTTTGACTGGGAGCCATGAAGTTGTTTATATTTCTAGTGTGAAATGTTCTTTAAATGTTCAACCCCGAAAACACTCACACAAGGAACATTCTATCCACTAAGCAGGTTGTATTAATGTACGTAAGAAACATATAAAAGAAGAGACCATGAATTTGAAAAGAGGAAATAAAGGAAAGGAGAATGATGTAATTATATTACAATCTCAAAAAAATAAAATATAAATAGTAAAGATTTGTGAATGTTTACTGAATGACTCCCAATACCCTCAGAACCATAAGCAGCTATTCTTCAGACTTTTCTTTTGACAAGTCCCAAACTGTTAACCCTGTCTACAATTAATTTTAGAAATTTTATACATTTTGGAGTTCAGAGCAAAAAGGAAAGTCTTAGAATCCCACACAGACTTAAACCTGGGGCAAAACAATTGTTCTAATAAAGGTGAGTCTATGGTCTTGGTTCCACAGACCTAGCAGGAAAAAAAAGTCGAGACTGCTTCTGGGGAAAGCGTAATCCTGAAAACGCTCTTTCAAAGTAGATTGTTCTTCGTCTTAATTAACGTTACCACTGATGCAATGAAATGTCATGACCAAAAACAACCTGAGGAAGGAGTTTATTTGCTTATACTTCCATAGCACTGTTTATCACTGAAGAAAGTCAGGACAGGAACTCAAACAGGGCAGGAACCTGGAGGCAGAAGCTGATGCGGAGACCGTGTAGGAGTGCTGATTACCGGCTTGCTCCCCATGACTTGATCAGCTTCCTTTCTTTAGAACCCAGGACTCCCACATCAATCACTAATTAAGAAAATGCCACACAGGTTTGTCTGAAGTTCAGTCTTATGGAGACATTTTCCTCAACTGAGGTTCCCTCCTCTCAGATGACTCCGGCTTGTGTCAAGCTGCCAAAAAATTAGCCAGCACAGTCTGGAAGAGATAAAAAAAAGCAAAGGGAAAGCTGTCTGACTCCTTTGCCATAGCAATGCTGGGGCAGAAGAACCTTCCTGCACATATTCTATGAGGAAGTGAGCACGAGCTCTGACAGTGTGATTGGAATCTATGCGGGAGATGCTCACATGGGATCAAGGCCAGCAGAGGAAGACAAATGTGACACTAATATTAGCATCTTCATCCCACGGGAAAATTAGGGCAGCCCCAATTTCAGGCACCAGTGGTGCATAGAGCCACAGAATCAGAAAGCTAGAGTCAAGTCTTTCTTCCTTGGAAGAGCATCACAAGACAGTGGGCGTTGCCCACAGGTGAGCAGCCACAGTTGCTTCTCTTCTGGCTGTTCACTGACTTTGACGTTGTCACTTTAAATTGCTGTCTTGGTAAGGTGCCTAGCAGATTCCCTAGCTGACCTGGTAAGAGAAAGCGAATCTGAATGCCTAGAAGATATATCCAAGCAGAAAGGGGGAGGGAGGGAGGGAGGGAGGGAGAGAGAGAGAGAGAGAGAGAGAGAGAGAGAGAGAGAGAGAGAGAATATCTTTGGGAACCTGGAGCGATGCTCACAGAGGGCAGCTCTTGCTTAACGCCAGTGTTATTTTCAAGCACTGCTGCGGTGCCATTTTCTGTCTATACAAAGCTGGATATATGCATTTTAAAGCAAAATCTCCTACATTTGAAAGGCAGCAATGAAAGAAAACTCTTATTATACAGAAAGGAAAAAAAGACTAACATGGCTAATTTTGTTAGCATACACATTTTGCTGTGATAAAAACAATAATTTTATAAAGGGAAAAAATAAAACAAGGGCCAAACAGAAAATACCTATATCCTTGATTCACCTTGTGCACGTCATGATTCTGAGGCTGATTTTGCCTGTCTTTTCCTTCTGATTCCTACTTCTCCATGTTTTCAAGAAGGCTTTAGAGCCTAGAGTCCAGCCCAAGGTCCCACACTCTGAAATCTACAAGACAGTATTACAGGAATGTTCCTGGAGACCCTAGAATAGTCTGACTCAGATTTTACCAACTGTCAAGAGATCCTTTATTTCCTGTTGTTACAATTTTAAAACCTGGTAATTGATCCATGTACTACCTGTGTGTCACCATCCTCCACAGCTCCTGGCTCACCCTCTAACTAGGCTTCCTCCTACCTAGCCCTGTGAAGTTTCATCCTTCCCTTCTGTTTTATCATGCCACATACAGGTCATAGGGCATGAAGTCTGTGCTCAGGGGTGTTTTCCAGATTTGTGCTGTGTAATGACACTGTCCCACATGTTTTCTATTGCATATGCTATAAATAGAATTTCATGAGAAACAGAGTCAGAAAGACTCTACATCTCCTTCAAGTTTGAACAGCCAATAAATTAAAGACAAGAAATTCAAACTCAAGTTTGAATCCTATATCTACTCTACTGTCCTACGTGGGAGTTGCAGGTAAAGGGGTGTGTGTGTGTGTGTGTGTGTGTGTCTGTCTGTCTGTCTGTCTGTCTGTCTGTCTGTCCCAGGTTTAGGAATTTCATTTACTGTTTATGTCTCAAAGTGTATTTCAGGAGCCAGAATGGACTTGTAGGTTGCCAATAAGGACACTTCTAAGCCTATGTAAACAGCATTACCATTTCATTAAATTAAAAGTATTTTGATATGCAAACAGGTGCGTGGGCCATATACAGAGAAATACACAGATACCATACACACACAGACAGACACACACACACACCACACATACACATACACAGAATGGAATGGTGCTTGCCACCAGAGACAATATTGTTGGAGCTTAGACAACCTTAATACATAAGGTAAAGCCAAACAAACTCTGTGAAGGACAGCCAGATCCAAAAACAAAAGGTGGTTTTATTTTTTTAAATGAAGTACCTAAGCTCTCAGAAAGTTAACAGCTAAAATAATTTCCTTAAATAACACGTTGACTCTAGCAAAGTAAGGTCTAGAAGAGAACAGTCCTGAGAGCTCCTTCAGTTCCTTTAATCATTGCCATCAACAGTTAGGTGACCCTCTCACGTGACAGCATTATTGGTGAAATGGGCTGGAGAGAAGATAGTTTGGGAAACTCACCACCATATATAAAACTTTCTTGTGTGAAAACAGCATCTGCGAAAGATGCAGACATAGGCATCAACACAGTCATGTTCTTTTGCACAGCCTGCCACTCCGAAGGTCACAGCAAGGAAAACAATGTTATCTCCCCACCCCAACCCCGGCCCCAGAAAGAGATGCTCACTTGATTTTGCACCTGCGGCGTTCAGAAAGCTATGTGCTGGCTGTGTTTGCACCCACCTCAGCAGTCTACATGAGAGTGCAAACAGGTAACTCACATGTGACCAAGGACTAACTGGTAGCATAAGCCTCAACTGAATCCTATTTACCGTTCTAGGGGCGTCGCAGCCTCCCTGTGCTTTCATGAGAGCCATGATGGAAAAGTTCGCTAGGATCTGGAAGCTATAGAGAAACAAAAGCAAGTGACCACACAGACCTATAAACTTCAAACACCATTTGCACGGGAATAGTAACTAAGTAAGCCCAATTTCAGGAGCAGATGATTCAAGGTGACCACAGAAGTTACACTAGCCTACATGCTAACGTTCAAAATTGTTTTCAGTTTATAGTCATCAATCCCAAAGCTCTCTGGCATATGCACACATGTGACTATAGCATCATACGGGTAATCAGATTTCTGAGAGCTATGTTTCTGCATGTGAAAGTAGCAACCTACTTGAGAACTTCAATTTTCTTCTCCATTTTCCAAGGTTTGCATTTGACAGTAGCAATCATCTGTCTATTCTCATCCAGCTGTGCCTTCAGTCGCTCTAATTCCTCTTCATCAATTTCTTCTTCTTCTTCCCTTTAAAAGAAAATGAAAGGTTAAACTTTGTTTCATTTCCAAACCTAAAAAGCCTCCTGTCAGATACCCAAGCCCCCTTTTCAAACTCAGCTGCCCAAAGTCAATGAGGAGTCTCCTCAGCTCTAGAATTCACATCTCAACACTGCACTGACGTCCATCCGGCTTGGGAATTATTATAACCTTCAACAATGCGATTTGCATTCTAATGCTCAAAATGGAACTGTTCTTTTATGTCCTCAGCCTCCAGCTGTCAGAACAAGGGAGCTGTGGAAAGGATGGCTACAGATCCATCAAGATACACACTTCTCTCCTCTGTTCCCCTTGGCAGCTATCCTCCCCAAGTCTGTTTCATTTAAGAACCTTATTTTTCAATAAGGATAATGAATTAAAGGTGAAGACATCTTTGAAGTGTCCTTAGAAATTTTAAATTAGCCCTGTCTCAAGAGAAAAGGGGAAAAATTGAAACACGGGAAAAAAAAAATGAAACTCTGCTTCTCAGAGGAAGCCTAATCTGTTAATTACACCCAAAACTTCATTTGATAAAATTCAACTTGAAATGCTTTTGGTGGAGGCAAATGCTTTGAAGGCGCCTTCAAAGGAATTTTGCTTCTCACTAAGCAGATACTGTGTTCTCTTTTCTGTGATCCTACTGTTGCAAAACTGGAAGCAAAAGAAAACAAAATCTAACCCCGAGTCAGGTGGTTTTAGAGGAGTAACATAATACTATATTATAGAAATCAAACTGTTGGCAATAGATTATTTTAATTATTAGGCTAGTGTATCAGTTGTAAATACACCCTTTCATACTTAATATTATAGTACTGAGACTGGGACTCTATATGTCATATTTTCGCTTATAAACAGACTCAACTTTATATTCAGACTGTAGGAATCACTAAGTACCTTCATCTTTTCTTTGACTTCTTATCTACTTCCATTTGCCACCTAGACTGACACTTCCTCCTTGGCAGCACTTTACTTCTGGAGCTGAATGGCCCTTCCATAGCTGGAGGTGAGTCTACTCTGTCATTTCTCCAGTACTAGCAGAATTAGCTTCATCCTCTCCCGCAGTGGAACCAGTACTTCTGTGCATCAGCCCTCCATGGAGCTTCAGGGTTCAGCTCCCTGGATCTCTCCTCTGAACATCACATTTTTATTTTAATCCTTTCCAGGGTTCCAGCTTGTTGAAGGGCCTGCTTGTTTGTCCTGGCTGCTAGGCTAGCTTAGCCCGGAAATAACCACAGAAACTGTATTAATACTGCTTGGCCCATTAGCTCTAACTTTTTATTGGCTAACTCTTACATATTAATTTAACCCATTTCTATTAATTTGTATATCACCACGAGGTCTTGGCCAACCAGCAAAGTCTCAGCATGTCTATCTCCACTGGTGGATCCCAGACGTCTCCTGACACTGCTTTATTCCTCCCAGAATTCAGTTCTGTCTTCTCTGCCTGCCTAAGTTTTGCCTTATTAGGTCAACACAGTTTCTTTATTCATTAACCAATACAAGCAACACACAGAGGGCACTCCCACATCCCCTCCCCTCTTCTGTTTAAATAAAAAGGTTTTAACTTTAATAAAGTAAAATTATATATAACCGATATCAAGCAAGAATTACAGTTACAGTATTTCTATTTACTTTATCTTTAATCATAAGTAAGGAAAACTATAACTATGACTATCTATCTATTCTTCAACTCCATCAAAGACTCCAGAAGGATATAATATTACCTAAGCAAACAGGAAGTGCATTGTAAGCAACTTCCAAAACTCTAGAATTGACAGAGACATCTTGCTGCCTGGACAGTCACCAAAGTTCTTCTGTACCATTGGGGCATCCATTTTCAGCCTACAGGCCCACAGTACCCAGTATACTTTTCCATGAAGCAGAAAATTTTAAAGACCATTCAGTCACTTTCTTTTGTATCCTTCAGAATTTCTCGCAGACTCTTTCATGAAGCAGGAACATCAAAGGATTGTCTCACCTTTAGGCAAGTTCAGCAGTCATTTCTCTGTAAGTTTTGCATATCTGGTTTTTACAGCATACCATGAAACAGTCCAGGCAATAGCAGTTTCTTGCCCAAATGGCTAACCAACTCCATAAGGAGCCTCTTTGATGCCCAATTTTTTTCTTGAAGTAGATTGGTACTGCCAAGAGCAGATGTGTCTCACTGTCATGAAAAGTTCTATGTTCTTAAAGCATTTAAATGCCATATTCTGAAGGTCTCTGAAAGATTTGAAGAATACCTATCTAACTGAAATATATCTCTATACATCTAGAAAGTCTAACTAACATGACTACAATCTTGACTATTATAAATGATTATCTATTAACCTATATTTCTTTTATACATTACATTTTTGTAAGTGAACTACACAATCACAATACCTTAATCAAGATCAGAAATACATATACATATAACAAAATTGAACTTAAATGTATATCAATAAACCAAGAATCATACCAATGTAAATTATTCATATCTAGATTATATTCCCCATTAAATGTAAACAAACAATTATGAACAATATTTGGAAATATGGCATAGTTTTGTCCATACTGCTAAAGGCTAGGCCCACAACCAAAATTGTAAGAGTTTGGTTCCCAGCACCCATGGCTATCTCTCCAGCCACCTTAGTTCTGCCCTATCAACAGGCCCAAAGCAGTTTCTTTATTAACCAATGAAAGCAACACAAAGACAGAAGGACCTCCTACACCACCAGCTTATGAATGCTGTCTGCCTTTGACAGCTATTGCCATCATATTTCAGTTTCCAAAGATCTAGATAACAAGTCTTTTATGTATAACCCCTAATAACTCTCATATAAAATTCTCAGGATTCAATTCACTGTTGAAGTCTCTCTCCTCATTAGACCCAGATTGAAAAATTGTAAACTATTCATTATTATTGAAAAACATATTTTATACTTCACTAAGTTTATTACTAGACACAATAAGAATATGGGGGGAAAGCCATTTTTAAATGGTTAATTATAATGTAAGAGAACACAATTGCAGATTACAGACCAGGCTAGAAAATGATTTTTGTAATTGTCTACTTATTTTTTATTGTTTCTAATCATGCCTTCTCAAACAAAAATTCAGACTGCCCCTGTAAAATGACACTTTCTAGTGGTAGTATCTCAACCTTGCTTTACAACTCAACACACTTAAGAACAGGGAATCTCGGTTAAGGAACTGCTTCTATCAGGTTGACTTGTAGGTATGTGTGTTAGTCATTTTCTTATTTCTTAGTTGATACACAAAGGCCTAGCTGACATCTCTCAGATTGGTCTGAGCTGTACAAGAAAGGTAGCTTCACCAGCTAACCAAGGGGAGCAAGTCAGTAAACAGCTTTCCTCCATGGTTCCTATCTTTGTTCCTGCTTGATTTCCTTCCCTGACTTCCCTCAGTGAAACATTGTGAACTGAATGTTTAAACCATGTGGGTCCCAACTCCCTTCAGTGGTTAAGTGACTCTTTCACAGGGATTGTGAATCAAATATCCTGCATATCATATATTTATATTATGTTTCATGACAGTATCAAATTAGAGTTATAAAGTAGCAATAAAAATAATTGTATGCTGGAGTCACTACAACATGAGGAACTGTTTAAAGAGACCTAGCATTAGGAAGGTTGAGAACCACTGACTTAACAAACCCTTTCCCTCTACAAGCTGTTTTTGGTCAGTGTTTCCTCACGGCAACAGAAAGCAAACTAGTACATACATTTTACTTCAAATAGAAATCTTGGTTCAAGAAAACTGCGTATGGGCATTTACTAAGATACAATTTAGATTATCATCAGTTTTTTTAAATTATTTGGTATTTATTATACAAAACCCTGTGATACTGTATAACAATGACATAAAATACGTGTGACAATCTCAGGCTATATATAGGTTACGGTGGTTAGTCTTAAAAAGGTTAGAAATGTTTTGACAAAAATAATTGAACTTGTTTTTATGTAGCTATAGATACAAATACAAATCATAAAACATGTTCCCTTTGAAAATAAAAAAAGCTTGCAAAAGCAACTAAATGCATGAAACTCTCAAGAATGGAGTCAGTTTACAATGAGAGGACTTTAAGATTAGTAACTTAGTTATCTGATTATTTCAAATCTTTAACTGCCCCCAATTCCCAAATATCCCATGTATACATTAAGTACAATAATGTACTACATTACTGAGTTCCACTGTATAAGATTGTCTCAATAGGGATAAAAGAATGAACCATGGGTAATCAATGTATTAATGGCCTCAAGGCTTGTGAATTTACATGCCAAATATAAATGACCTTCTAACAGAGAACTTCCTGACACTAATTGACTTTTTGGGTAGCTCTGATTTTCTAGAAACTTTCTGTTCTCTCATTCTGCAAATACTTTCATTTTTTTTCGCCAGCATGTATATTCTATCTTATTTCATAATAGTTTGTATCTGAGTAGCTTCTTTCTTACTAGACTATAGATTTGGGGGTCTGGATAAATATTTATTGAAGAAATGTTTATGTATCAAACTTTCATCAATAACATTGAGTTCGTACCCTGAACCCAATAATTGAATTAAAGTGTACTAGAACACAGCGATGTTCAACAGCAATGTTTCCACGACATGGGAAGAGGTCCATTCTTACACAACGTGTCCCGACACTAGTATATTTTTAAGACTTTGTTGTTAATTGTTGGTAAGTCCCAAGAAGATCTTGTTGTGCTTCAGAGTGTGGCTGGCAGATAAGTTACCTTCAAATACCCAAGCACCTAAATTATGCTCATTGAAATTACAAGGAAACTGCTTATCTGGGAACCACTCAAAGAAAGATATATATTACACATGACATATGTTCTACCTTCTAAAATTTAGAGCTGCTCTGTGCAAGAAAAGCTTTGTATCTTGAGCTTACCAACAGTTGTGAGGAAAAAGAAAGGATAACATATTGAATTTTCACTACCAACGCTTTGCTTACTCCTTCAAAAGTGGGTCAGGAAAAGTGCTGTAGATTATTTCTATACCACTAGAAATAATCTACAGCATCTACCAAGGCAATATGTCTTAACCATCACCAAAGATAGCATTACAGTATCAGATTTACTTGGTTTTAAATGCTTGTGAGGGTAAGGGAAACGCCCCGAGGCTTTGCTTGAATATTTAAAGAATAAAGATTCTGAATTAATTCACTTAAACCAATGTGTTCTCATTTGCCTACTAATTTTCTTCAAAATAAGTTTTAAAAGTATATCTTCCTTTTTAACAAAAGATTTTTCTCTATAGAGAAATGAGGAGAAAAATAGACCCTAAAATATTAGTTATGATGCCAACACTAAATATATGGAGCACTATGGCTTTGGCAATATAATTTGAAAATTTGTAGGAGAGTAAAGTTATCTATGTGGAAGGTTTGGGAGATGAGGAGTAACTATAGAATCCTCAGAACCAAAATGGAAGTAAGATCAATTGAGATGAAATACTCTTATAAAAGGAGACGCAATTGGTGAGCATGGGCCTGTTTCCCAGAGGCTGGACATTTTATCTGAAAGCCCTAAGAGGCCAGGAAAGCAGAAAAATTCCAGTCCACTGTATCTTCTTCGATTCTTTTCCCCAGGCATAAGTGAGAAGGAAAAGCAAATTCTGTGGTATTTGTGGAACACATGTCTACATTGGTGATGTTTTCATGATGAAATCCCTCCTAGAAAAAGCAATCTTTGCTAACAGGACACATTCTTTTATATAGCACTAACCATCAAAACATTAAATGAGATTTTAGTGAATTACATTTTTAAGTTTTTTTTTAAAAAAATTATTGTTGAAAAGAAAGTGCAAATAAAAAATATCAGATTTAAAATCTAAAGCAAATGATACCATGGTATTTAAGGAGAAGGAAAAATAAATAACAGTGGAAGGGAAACTCAAAACATAAGCTAAAACGTTTCTAAAAGGAGGAAACAGTCTATTAAGGCAGAGCTTTACTCCCTACCTGACAATTTTCCATATGGTTTCATTAAATAATGATTATTTCTGGGGTTAGTGTAATAGACTTATTGGACACTGACAGGTACTGTCATGGGAGGATGAGGTGAGGACATTCCTCAATGAGTAGAAGAGTACTGGGTTGCACTGCCTGTTGGTAGTCCACAAAGCCCGTAACCTTCAGGTATAAAGCAGGTTAACTCTTTGCTTGAAACTTTTCCACAGAGTCTCGGTTTTGCAGACTAGATTTGTGCAGGCACACTTTCCATCCCTTCCTACCACCCACAAATTTCTAGTAATCCGTAAAATAATCTTCTTGGATCTTTTAAAAATAGCATTTAAATACATTACTCTCTACAGTGTCAGAAATAAAAGTTTGAAGCTAAAAGATGCTGAATTTTTTTAACATAAATATGAATTGAGTGTGGTGACTCACACCTTTAATCTTAGCACTTCAGAGGCCAGCATGGTTTACTCAGTGAATCCCAGGACAACCAATAGAGAGATCCTGTCTTCAAAACAAGAAGCAAATTATAGTGTGTGTGTGTGTGTGTGTGTGTGTGTGTGTGTGTCTATCCCTAACCTTCTATAACAAAAGCCAGCATACTTTCTTTCTACACAATTCCCAGCAGCCAACATTTTAGGCTTTAGATACTACATACAACTCTGTCTTATACTCATTTTCTTTATTAATAACACTATAAAACTATAAAAGTTTGGGCGGATAGCTCCTATACTGCATTTAGTCATATTTTACCAAATAATTCTCCATAAGCTAAAGTGACCAGACCTCATTCTTCTGCATCTTTCTATACAATTTTCAAATATTTAAAACAACCATAACATTGTAACAAACTGTAACAATTTAAGTCTTTCACGGGGGAAATTTCTCATAGTGCATTCTCAGTGTGTATTCATTTTCAAAACTATATTTTAGTACTTAAATATATTCAAGTGAAGAGAAATGGCAGAATCACTTTAAGCCTATCTTACTAGAAATAATTTTAATGACTGATATAAAATCCAGTGAGTTACCACATAGAGCAATCCTCTTTCATGTGTTTTTATATAATAATATCACCAGCTATACAGGAAGAATAACTTACGCTCCTCTCCTCATCCTCCTCCGCCTTTCTTTTTCTCTTGCCTTCCTTGTTTCTTCATCCTCTGGCTCAGGTTCTGGATCATCCTCGTTTATGACATCCCTAGTCCGTTTCCTCTTGGGTCTCAAGCTCTCTCTTCTAGGTAGTTTGTCTTCTTCTTCACCTGACCATGACAGTTGACACATCAGTAAGAAGCATCAGAAAGTGACTGCTTTCTCTCACTAACAAGTTTATTCTTACTTTTAAATAACCGTGGCACATAACAGTGCCACAATATAATATGAAATTTTATCTTACATACACATACACATGCACCTCTGGGTGCACACACATACATGCATACACCCCTAACTTAATTTGCTCTGTGGTTCATTGGTGTAGGAGGTCCTTCTGTTTATGTGCTGCTTTCATTGGTTGAATAAAGGAACTGCCTTGGCCTTTTGATAGGGCAGAACTTAGGCAGGCGGAGAAGACAGAGATGATTTCTGGGAGAAAGAAAACAGAATGAGGGAGAACCGCCATGGAGCTGCCAGAATCAGGCATGCTGAAACTTTCCTAGTAAGCCACAACTTCATGGTGGTGATATATACAGATTAATAGAAATGGGTTAAATCAAGATATGAGAGTTAGCCAATAAGAGGATAGAGATAATGGGCCAGGAAGTGTTTAAATAAATACAGCTTCTTTGTGATTATTTCAGGTGTAAACTAGCCGGGTGGGATAGAACAAAAGGGCCTGCTCTCCCTTCAACAAACAGTTTATCTAGTCAAATATGCAAATATGGGTCTCTCCATTACAATTAATCCTTACAGTTTCAGTCCTAATTTATTAAGCTAAATCAATGATTTGGAGTTTAGCACTGTGTTATGATTTCTAAAACCATTCAAAGCAGCCTCAAGTTTGAAGGCTACCACGTAAAATGTAATGTAAAATTAAAAAACGTTGTGCTTTTATTACTAGTTTTCCTAAGACAGAAACCAGGACTCACAAGGGAATGTCTACAAACCGAAATACTTTTAAAGAAATTGATTAAATCCTGAGAGTCTTCTTAGTTCAAATTATCCACCCTTGTTTTGGTATTTAGTATTCATTTTAGGAGTCTGCTTAATTTACCAGACTGGCACAAACAACTGGGTTCAATCAATTGTCCTGCTTTTGTCTCCCAAGCTCCTGGGACTACAGGTACCATACCAAACTCATCTGAATTGTTGATTCCAAGTAATTCTTGTATTTTTCTGAAATTGTATTTTCCCTCCTTTAAAAATAAATATATATAATACCTATATTTACTTGATTTGCTGGTGAATTCCACAGTCTTAAGTAAAAGTTAATGCTGTCTGATGGTTCCAGTGGGAGTTTTTCAGTACTAGTGTAAGTCCTTATGAAACACTTCGAAATTGAAGAGGAGGAATATTAACTCATTCCATGAGACCCACACTACTGTCATACACAAGAGACTGGAGAGTATTATTTCTGATGAATATAGATGAAATTTTCACAGTGAAACATTAGTGAACTCAATGTAACAACAAAGTAAAAAGACTGCATACTGTAACCAAGTAAAATTAATCAATGAGATACAAAGACAGTTCAATGCAGAATTCAAATAATATGACATTACTACCTTGGCAGAATGAAGGACAAAGATCACATCAATAGATGTAGAAAAGCACTTAACAAAAGATCCTGAGTTCAATTCCCAGCAACCACATGGTGGCTCACAACCATCTATAATGAGATCCGGTGCCCTCTTCTGGAGTTCAAGCATACATGCAGGCAGACCACTGTTCACACAATAAATAAATATTCATTTAAAAACAAATCCAAAATGTTATTGACTTAGGGCACATCCATGTAGCCCAATAGAAGGGAACAGAGATCTCCAAAGTAAACATGAACATGTACAGTGAAGTGATATTCAGAAATATGCCAAAGAATACAAAATGAGGTCATGAACAAATGACACTAGCAAAACCAGATAGCTCTGTGAAAAATAGAGCTAAACCCCTAGTCTACACTATAACAAATATCAATTCAAAATGTAATAGACTTGAATATAGGATATAAAACTGTAGAATTCCAAAGAATATATGCTGGAAAGACTTTATAATAACTGATTTTAGTAATGCTTTCTAGTATATGACATCAAAAACACAAGCAATAAAACAAAAGTAGTCAGTACAGCTAGAAGCCAAGAGAGGAAGGTGCCCTCAAGGGCAAAGTCCTCCATTAAAACTACTGCAATAGCTCCTTTTCCTATGGTTTCAGCTAAAACCATTTTGAAGAAAAGTACTTTAGTATACCAAGAAATATTTCTCCCAGTCATCTTTAGGATGCTTGCTAAACATGGCTGGAAATATTTTTGTCTACATTGTAATTTTTTTATACATATGCCCATGACCTTGAGCTAATCAGGCTCAAGAATATGTTGATTATTTTTTTTCCTCCTTGACTTATACCCTTAAACAGAGCTTGTTCCAGAATGTATAGCATAAACTGAGCATGCTCCAGATGTACCACCTCTGAAGAGCTGTCTTACTTCGAAAGGCTTAAACTCAGCGTTTGCAAGCCTCAGGCTTCCTTCATGCAAAGAAGACTTTTGGAATAACTCCAAAAGTTATTCCAGCACAGGCAGTACTCCTGTCTCCTTTCCTCTACCACTGGGTCATGCCTATCTGCTTTGTACTCACCCAAAAATGAACCATTGTGCTTAGCTGTGGGGCCCCATCAAAGGAAAAGCTTTTACGCAACAATGAAAATAGTTCACTAAAAAATATTCTGCAGAATAAAATACATATTTGAAAACCATGTATCTGAAAAGGGACTAATGCCCAAAATACATAAGGAACTCTTAAGATAAAATAATAGTAACTGTCTATGTTTTAAAATAATTAAAGGACTTTAATAAAGATCTTTCTAAAAATGACATTCAACATGGCCAACAGACATGAAGGTATATATTATACTTTTAATCATAAGAGAAATGGAAACCAAAATTGAAGTAAGATATCATCAGTTCATTTTTACTAGGATAACTCATCAAAAATAGAATAAACGATAGCAATGATATGAAGAAATTAGAGCCCATGTGCAATGCTGGTAGGAAGGTAACCACCATAAAAAGCATAGAATTCTTCAATAGGAAATAAAAGTATCTGGTGCTTCAGCAATGCCAGTCACAGGCATTAACCCAAATAACTGAACTGAGATCTTGTAGAAGTCTGATTACCTCATAGTCACTGAATCACTCTTCACAACAACCAAGATGAAGGAACAGCGGAAACATTCATCATCAGAGACAAGAAATGTACTATGTTCATGTAATAGGATATTCGAGCTGTAAAATGTAGGGAACACTACTGTTTCAGACAATGCATGTGAACCCTGACGATGCTACATCCAGTGACATAAGCCACACAGAAAGACAAAAAGTGATTACACTTAGATGAGATGCCTAAATTTTTCAGGCTCAGAAGTTAATAGAATTGTGGTTGCCAGGGGCTAGAAGAGCCAGAAAGGGCCGGATTTTACAAATAGCCAAAATTGCAAATGCCAAAAAATAAGTCAATTCTTTTAAGCAATGAAACCAAAACATAGAGAAGCTTTAGGCTGTTTTCATATTGGGGAGGGAACTCTTAGGGCACCGCTGGTGGTCTGCTTATGCTGTATGAATATTAAATTGTCAGCCCAGTGTCCCTAAAAATGAACAGTTCCTTAGATACTGCTCTTTCATTTTTGGTTTAAAAACTTCAAAACGTTTGCTCATATAATGATATTTCTAACATTCCTGCCCATGAGTGGCCTGGGTGCCTGGAAAGGGACCTGATTCACACTCTTGAGCTGAGTGTATCCAAGGTGAGAAGAATGTAGCAGTTCATACAAACCATCTAGGAACTGAGTACACAAGACAGACATGTTCTTTTGTTTTAATTAAACCATCTGGTCAGCCCAAACATCCTAGTGTATAATTCAACCTGGACGTGTGCAAGCAGGTGCCTCTGTGTGTGTGTGTGTGTGTGTGTGTGTGTGTGTGTGTGTACAGAGTGGCCTGAAATTCATCTAGCCTTTAACACACAGAGATTAACCTGCCTCTGCTTTCAAAGTGCTACCTCTCGTGTGTCACCAAGCCAAGCATGAAATAAATATTACAGTTCAGGGCAAACCAATCTGTTTTGTCATCAGTCAAGGTTTTCCCAGTAAACACATAACAGAAATAGAAAGGAAAATATTAAACATTACTATTTTCTTCCAGCAAACCATTTGTAAGGTGTGTGTGTGTGTGTGTGTGTGTGTGTGATGGATGTGTGTAACCATGTATGCACATGTGTATGTGCATATGGAGGCTGTGAGGATTCTATTCACTGGTCCATGAGACTGGCAGAAAGCACGCCCACACACTCCTGTAGTTTTATGCGGTGGCTCAGGAGACAAGATGCACATGCCCTACCATCGGCCGGAAGCTGTTCCCTAGGAGCCCACCCTTCCTTACTTGAGCTTTCTTCTGTGTCGTCTTCCTTCTCCTCCACTTGGATTTGCACTGTTTGAAGAAAGACATGAACAGCAATTACTTCAATGCCTGTGTAACAGTCAGCCATTGCCTCTACCAGCATCGTTTTTATCATAAGGGTTTTGTGCAGGTGGAGGAAACATAATGAGATCTGGAGAGATGGTGCCGGCATCAAGAGCACTTTCTGTTCGTACAGAAGGTTTGAGATTCGATTCCCAGCACCCACAAGGCAGCTTACAGCTATCTAATTTCAGTTCCAAGGGACCTGATATCCTCTTCTGGTCTCCAAAGACACCAGATACACAAGGGGTACATAAGCATACAGGTAAAACCTTCACACACATAAAGAAATGAATATTTTCAAAACTTTTTTTCTGTTATTTTTGAAACTAGTTCTCTTCTGATTATATAATAAATACAAAAATCCAATTATTACAAAATATATGGCTTTTCAAAACATCATAAAATTCAATGATTATAAAATACGTGATGTAGGAGGCTGGTCCTTGGTGACCCAGTTCCACTCCTGCCGAGATCCCCAGATTACTGCTGTTTCCCATTAGGTGTTTCCTCAGACCCTCTTTGGGCACAAACTGACACACAATGACAAAACTAAAAACACACTCAGAATCACAGCACTCCGGAGACTGAGCCAGAAAGGCTGAGTTCAAGGTCAGTCAGGGCTATGTCGGGGGTCCTGACTCAAACTCCCACACAAGTCCAGGCTTCATCACCTGCACAGCTAGGACACTTGTGTCTGTGTATCAGCCTCCTGTTTCTAATCACAACAGTAACCAAATATACTACTGTAAAATGAAGAATAATTCATTCCAACCTAGTTTTCCACGTATTCCCACCCCCCACTCCCAAATAAATCCTATATAAACATGGTCAAAGTTGAAT